TTTTGGAGTCAAATCAATTTCAGATGGCAACTTTATACAGTACAAAAATGTTGATAATTTACACGTGGAGAACATGCTGACAGCTGGGCTTGAACCAAGCCCCCACAATGCGGCTCTCAAATTGAGGCAAACCCGGAAATGAAATAAACTGCAGTTCCACCCTCATCCACTGGGGGCTGGTGTCAGAAGCGAGCAAATCCTCATTGACTCCCATGTTAAAAATACCAATTTAACAGCAGAAATAAACATGTTTACAGCCTGGTACCAAAACATGTTTTTTGTTTAAATTATCTAGTTTACACTCATGACAACTCTGAGGGGGGTGAATTTTTTCTCACTCTTCTGTTTAAGTGTGTTAAAAGCCTAAAATTCTGTATAATTAATGAGCATCAGACCCACTTGACCACAGAGCTAGCTCCGTGGAAAGGCCTCAGAAGAGCCTCGGTCTGGCCTGGAAACTGTTCCGGGATTTTGAGTCTCTGTGTTTGTGAATTCTTTTTTGGATATTTTTTGTGCAATTGTTGGACAAAACGACTTGCTGGGGCCTTAATTGCACTAATAGAGCGTCCAAGGAGTCTCCACTTCATTTTTTTCGGTAAGTAAAATTATATTTATGTATTTTAGGTCACTGCCGAGCTGAGCTTAGATTTTAACATGTACTGTTTAACCATGAAATTTAAATGTAATAGGGTAAAACCCAGTGCATTTAACATAATGCTGCACTTTAGAAAATGGGTTGAAATATAACATGTTGGTGGAGCTGGGTTCCGACTATCGGCTTGTGGAGCTCTCGGGAGACTGATGTTTTCCACCCGGTTCTCCCCTCCCCGCATCTCTGTCTGATCGCGGCTTCTGTTTGATGCACGGACTGCCGGCTTGTGGAGCTCTGGGATGGAAACCTTTCCACCTGGTTCTCCCCAGCGGCAGCTCTGCGCATCTCAGATCGCAGCGGTGCTTGTCTGCTGTGCGGCTGCCGGCTTGTGGAGCTCTCGGAGACCTCTGTGTTCCACCCGGTTTTACCCAGCGGTCAGCCCGGCGTATCTCTGACTCAGAAGCTCTGGTGTTGTGCACAGTTAACTCGGGTTGTAGCTAGGTTGCTACCTCCGTTAGCTCTGTGAAGAGAGCCGTTTACCTCAAAGATCTGCTCAAAAGACTGGCTTTTATTAACGGAGCGCCGCGCCAAGGTTACTGAAGGACAACATGAACAGTTCTCTACAAGGACTCAACTCTCCTTCACTTTGAAGAGCCGTTCAAATGATTTGATTCATTCGTAAACGTCCTAGCACTACTACCAACTGCACCACCATGCAGCCCAATTTCATCCTCACTTTTTCCAAATACGATTAGACAATAAGTCGGGCTGCACGATATTAGGAAAACCTGCAATATTCGATAACAGTGCTTAATATTGCGATATCGATATTACTCACGATAAATGAACAAATACTAAAGTATGCAGTGTTGATGTCGTCTGGCATGTGACGTCTGCTCTGGGTTCAAAGCAAACAAAAACTAATGCATGAATTCCATTACAACATTTTTATTGCAAAAATATGCAGCTGCACCTGCTACTGTATTAGCAGCAAAACAACAAACTGCATGCATGCAGTTTCTCAGTGACTTTAAAACATCACCTCCACCATAAAACTTTTTCTGATGCTCCAAATAACAGAAAACCATCCCTTACCAGGGTTTTTAGAATAAATAAAAAAAACAGAATTTAAGTTTAAATGTTAAATAATAGTTAACATCACTTAAATGCAACAGCAAATTCTCTCATTGCTACTTAGCATTTTCTCCACTTATGTAGTTATGATATGAGGCTGTTGCTGCAATTGGGAAGTGAACTGTGCTGGGCCATACTAGGAGAATATTAAGATTTTCTGAGGGAAATAGAAAAACAATTGTCTACCTTTCAGAAGAGGAACTGGCAAAAAAAAAAAAAAATACATGGAAAATATGTGAAAACGTTTGGTTTTCACCCCCAAATTGAACAAGTTTACCTAGATCTTAAAAAGCAGCACAGATGATGAAACTGCAACTATGATTCTGGTAACAAGCTAACAAATTGAACTAAGATAACCGGCTAGCAGAGCTTCTGACTGACAGTTTATGTGCAGCAGCAAATCAACTATCCTGATTAACAAGGTTATAAAAGCTCATAAATGAAAAATCACTTTGATGTGTGGGGGAACTTTTCCAGGCCCTCTTTAGCAGGGTGGGACTGGGAGGAGAGTGCTGTAGCCTTTTAGCTGGAAGCTAACCGGAGCCTGGGGCTAACATCACCACCCGGTGGAACACTAGCGACGTGAAGGTGGGTTGGTTCACCGGCACGTGTCAGTCAGCCCGGTAAAAATGATTAACGACACAGAGCGGACTCACGTTCACGTTTGAAAGCAGCGCTGAATCCAGAAACCTCAGCACAAAGTCTGTTCGTTGCTCTGAGCCAGCATGACGAACAAGGAAACGGCGCCGCTAACTCAGTTCGGTTGTTGCGTTCCACCCATCCTGTCTACGTAGGAGGCGGGCGTATTACGTGAACGGACCCATCTGATTGGCCGCATATCAGAAGGGCTACATTTGATTGGTCAAATACTTCCGCGTAAAAAACAGAGCTGGTTTACAAAAAGCTGATTTATGACACGGATGGAAATGTTTGAACCAAACATCTATCGCCGTTTTTGACGTGCTTTGCGATGGGCCTATCGCACGTCCTGTTATCACGATGACGATAATTTTTCGATACATTGTGCAGCCCTAACAATAAGTAACATTCGGATCACCTTCATGAAAGCTGAGGTTCTGGTAAACGGTGCTCATACCGGCTGTAGGCTCAAAAATCTTCTGATAAGCCACAGTGCTGATCTGGTCTGAAGCTTTCAGCTGCCAAACAGGATGGTTAGAAGGCCATCTCTAAATAATATGTAGTCAGTTAGACTGATTCTTAACGTGTGGAAACCATTAAAACCATCTCCCAGTCTTCTGATTCGCTGTTGACCCAACTGACTTTGCTGGTTGTGACTTTAAACTCTATTTAACTCTCTTTATATTTTTGTTCGATTCACATGTACTGTTCTATTCTGCCTTATTCTACACCTTGACCCTGGCTCTTTTATTCTTCTTTGGGCATATTCAGTCACTCTTTTTTTCCCAGCTGGGTAATCTGATTATGTGAGGAATGTGTGGAGGTTGCTATATCCAGCCTCAGAGCTGTTGGCTGACCTCTCCTCAAACTATGAAAATGAGGATTTGGTTGCTCTACAAAGCTAGAAACGGTCTCTGCTTTGTCACTGACTCCTGGCCAGATCTGGGAGGTGAGCATGTATAAAAAAGTAGATGATGCTAGTGTTGTTGCTTATTTCCCTTAAATAAAGGCTGGCAGGTTGGTAAACAAAAATAACCTGTTGTGTTTTTTTATAAGGTCTTACAAAAGTTAGAATTATGATTGTACCTAGAATTGATGAGAATTGAGCCGGTTTACTTTACCCGATGAAAAATCTCTGCAGGTTTGCAGAAGACCAGAGGTGAGATATAAACTATTTAAAACTTTTAAACAGTGACAGGAGATGGATGCTTGCAGTGCAGAAGTCTGAATATTTATTAAAATGTTCAAACCTAATAATAATAGTAGGTAATAACACAATGCTCAGCAACAAAAAAGGTGGATCTCTGGTGCAGCACCTGTACAGAGACACCAGCCCTACCTGTATCATCATGACTAGTGGATGAGTGAATGTTTTACAGCCAGCAGGGATGTCTGCCTCCTCCTGTTTGCTTCTCACTCCGCTATTTCTCTGTGATGTTCTTAGTTAGGATTTTTATCATAAACAGACAGATTATAATCCTGAAGGAGATTATAACAACCTAAACAGGTTTGGTTTGCCTGTAGAAACCAGCTTTGATTAGATTTTGGTGCCAAACTGGAATTTAACTAGACTGAATTGAACTTCAAACATCAAACAATCGTAAAATTAACTAAACACACTTTTAGTGACTAAAGGAAAATTGTGCTTTTAAAGGACTTCACTTCCTAACAAAAGCTGCTTCAATATAATTTTATTTGATGTGCATATAATTAAACATGGCTGCACATAGTTATCTTAATATTTTACTCAGGTTTATTTTATTAGGGATGTAAGAAAATATTGGTGCATCAAAGTATCACAATATTTACTGCTAAGATACTGAATCGATATTTAGTAATGTGTTTTTTTAATTGATCATTTACATTCAAACATTTACTGTAGTGTGTGTGTGTGTGTGTGTGTGTGTGTGTGTGTGTGTGTGTGTGTGTGTGTTGCAATTTTAACTCCCTACATGGCAGCAGCTTTTACTGCTTTTATTCTGAAGGAACAGCAAGATTTCGTGATAACGTTGGAAAATCAACTATTGTCTGGCGTTCAGTATCACAACATCATCTTGTCTCCCCTGTGTTGTGATATATTTCGTATCGCCAGATTGTTTTTGATACACACCCTAACATGTACACTCTGGCCTTTTGTTCGGTAATCTTTGATCCAGTCAGGTGAAATTCCTCCATCTTCAGCTGCTCTCTGTCAGGGTGTTGTCACCTGTGATACGATCAGATGTTTACAGAAAGCTTGGAGGCACACATAGCGGTGTTTGATCACAGACGTAGTTCAGCCACAGGCTTTCAGCTCTGTTTCTGATCTGTTTGGTGCTTCCTGGTCAGCTACCATTCCAGATATCAGTGTGTATTTCACATTTTTTTGCCTATCTACTCCTCCTGATCCCCGTAACTACAACACACAGCTGAATGAGCAGCTTCATGAAGGATTCCTCCTTGTTTACTTGGAAGAGTCAGCGTGAAGGGGCAGTTTGTGATGTGAAACATGGACCTCCTTTTAAACCCAGGACGAATTCTTAGTCCTTTTGATGGTTAAGCACATATTAAATATGCAGTTTATTTAGATTTTTCTGCTTTGGTGTGAATCCCTGGTTTGTGCTTTTCTAGCACCTAATGATCATTTGTTCTGCAGCGATGGAGGAGCTGGTGTCTGAGCTTCGTCTGTTCCTGGACTTGCTGGACCGGGAGTATCTGAGTGCTGGGATCAGGGAGAAGAAGGTGCATCTCTCCAACATCCTGAACAGGGTACTCTCAGACAAAGGTGAGCTTATGGTCTGTTTCAGACCTTATCAAGGATTCTGCGTGACTCAGATGAGTCACATTTATATTTCTTTGTGGTGATTAGCTGTCCTCTGTGATCACGTTGGCGTATTTTCTTCAGTATTTCTGAAAAACCTATAGACACATTTGTTAAACAGTGATCCTAAAGACCTGTGAGAGTTGATGGGCATCTCTAGGAATGGGACAGAACTTTGGCCATTGAGTTGGATCCGTTTCAAGTCGAGATGTTGGGTGGATGTTAAGTAAGGTGCTTCTCAGCCAAAGTACAGGACTCGGTCACAGTTTTGCCTCAGAACAGCCATGAATAATGAATGGTACCTAATCATCCTCCCAGAGGAACTCCTCCAGTAATCCAGCAACAGTTTTGTGATAAACAATGTCTTCTCCAGCATGATGGAGCACCGGGCCAGAAGGCGAAAAGCAGAACAAAGTGGACGAGGAACTAAACATCAGCATGTTGGGTCCAGGTCCAGGAAACTCCCATGATCTAAATCTAAATTGAAAACGTGTGGCCAATTCTCCAGAGACAGGAGAACAAACAAAACCCCACAAATTCTGACTAAGTCAAACATCGATGATGATCAGTGAGCTCCATCAGTTAGGATCTGGACCAGAAGATGATAAATGGCAGTGAACTGCAGATGTCTGGGGGGGCCATAATGGTCATGAAATGGCTTTGTAATGTAGGAAATACTGCCATTTCTCTTCAGTAACCAAGAAAACATCAATTTACGTAGGTAAAAGCAGCCTGGTGTGGCCTACAGCTAAAGGGCTCATGCTGGTGTGTAAGAGAGAGAAAAACATTATTTTGAGGACTACCCCCACCTCCGGACCAGCTGCTGAGGTTTGACTCAAACTGTTCATGTATTGTGATGTTTATTTGCCAAATGTGACGTCACTCCTTCTTCTCCACAGAGCCATCACTCAAGTCCGAGATCCACAGTGGTCTGCCAGCGCCCCCCCAGATGCCCCTCCCTGAGATCCCCCACCCCTGGCTGGTAGGACATCCATGTACTTCACTCCACATCTGTTGCAGGCATTTGAGATGTTTCTGACCCAGCAGAAGTGTTTCCACCAATACCAGTCTGTGTCGCTGTGTTTCCAGATCTGGTGTTTCTTCCTTTTAGTCTTTCAAAATGTGGCTGAGCTCAGCCGCACGCTGCCAGGATTCTCACATAAAGTTTATTTGTTGTCATGGCAACGCTGAAATATGACATGCATGGCAAGTTTCTTTTGTGGTGGATGCTAAACCAAATGCTAATTCAAGATGTTAAACATGGCTGGTCCCGGCTCTGTAAACAAGGTGAAACCAGTTGTGGATTGGTCATTTAAATCACATCTAAGCGTGGTGTGTTTAATGGTGTAGTTGACTGAAAAAACATTTTTAATGCTCATTATTTTATTATAATCAGTCATTTTGAGTTTTTCCACACAGGCTGAACATGAAATAGTCTTCTACACCTATCTCCTGCATTAGCTTCTGATAGAAAATTGCCGGTGAAACTCAAAGATCAGAAAAGCCTGACAGATCTACATCACTCTGTGAATTAGCCTTCATGGACTCACCCATCTGGAAGGCTGTTGTTGTTTTAACGACCAGGACTTGACAGCTAACTTCTTGGCTAGTTGAAGCTAATGTTAGCATTAACAACTTCACCACACAGCAGAAGCTCCTCCAGGCTTGTTTTATTTGTGGATATAAAACATCAGTGTTGCTAGTCAGTGGTAGAGTCGCATTGCTGTTGTTCAATCTGGGGAAAGATGTCCAAATATCAGGAAATAAGACTCCAAAATCTGTGGAACTCAAAAGTATTCAAAATTCAATAAATAAATAAGACATTATGAAATAAATTTCTACATGAAGAAATACTAGACAGTCATGTCATCTGACAATGAAATGATGAAATAACAGAATGTTATGTAAATTCTAAGCTCAATATTATGAAATATTTTTAATTCTTCTTTTAAAATGTCTTTATTATTAATGTTTTTTCCAAAAGTCATTTTTTCATAATAATCCAAATTAAGATTGAGCCATTTTTATTTAATTTATTCAGTTTTTATTACATAAGGTCTTTTTAACAAAGACAGCTTGTATTTCATAATAGTGTTTTTTTTTTCCATGGCTGATTTATTTCATTATGAGACTTTACAGCAGAATGTCTCAGTCCGTCAGTCAAGCCAGTGGGTGTGACCTGAAACACCATTGGTTAATCCTTCTACATGGTTTGGTTTTCCTGGATTTCTCTGTAATAGAACAAGGCTATCCCAGCATGCTTTGCGCACCGGCTGTGGACTTTCAACAGGAAGAGAAAATGGGGAGAGCTACGACGTTTTAAACTTAAGTTTGTTCAAAAACTAGTGGCAGAAAACTAAAACGCTTAAAGCGGTTCCGTTTATAGACATTTTTCATTTGTGTATTTGTTTTTGAAATTACATTTTAGACAGAAGTCAGCCAGAACGAGCTTGTGTCGCGGGTCCCGTAGTTATCCCGTGACCAAACAATTGCACACCTCCCTTTTTCAGAACATCAAGTTCCAAATTGCATTTGCTGTCCTGATGTTCCACTTCAACATTTAATTTTCCCAATGGAGTATTTCTCTCACCTGTGTATGTTTTCAGTTTCACTGTGGTGTGTTTTAAATTCAGGTTGGGAAATTTACCTCTGTAATCTTCATATGAGATCAGTGAGAGCGCAGACCCAGTGTCCAGTTCCATCTATAACTCAACCCCTTGTACCTTTGGTGTGATCCATATTGCATCACTTTTCTTCTCTAGCAGTGAATACAGCTCAAGACGAGCCAAATCTGCTTGTGAGTCACTGGAGTCTGTTTCATTTCTTTCTTGCAGCTTTTTGTCTCTTTTCCACATTTAGTTTTTTTTTCTTTTTATCATACTGCTTCGATTTGCACATTTTCTGTATATGTCCTCTTTCATTACAGTTCAGGCATTCCTTATCCTCGAACCAGCAATTGGCGGCATCATGTGACTTTTTGCCGCATCTGAAGCACGTCTGTGACTGTGACTTAGTGCTGCCCTGCGCATGCATTCTATTTATAGAACATGGCTCCATGTGTTTCTTCTGGAGTTCACCCGCATCTTTTGCCGCTGTCTCCATAGATATGGTGATCTCTAATGCACAGTGTAAGGTGAGATTGTCCTCCGTGAGTAGTCGTTTCTGCGTGCTTTCATTATGCATGCCACAGACAAAACGGTCTCTCAGTGCATCAGACAACCCTTCTCCAAACTGGCAGTGTTCCGACAGCCGCCTGAGCTCAACTATGTACTCTGATGTGGATTCGGTTTTTAATTGATTACGATTGTGGAGTCGGAATCGCTCAGCCTGCGGACCTCATATGTTGTAAAATCAATTTTAACGCTAGCAAACATTTCTTGTCAAAGCCCTGCTTACCGCTGCATTTATTCTCCCGTTTGTTTGCAATAAACATTAAAAAAAACGCTCTTTTTAATATCCATGGTTCGCGCCGCACAACTTCCTCAAAGCTTACGTAATTTACGGTTTTAACGTGGCATCTTCTTTTATGACAATTCAGGATGTATAAATGTGACAAAATGCAACACTGCCCCCTGGGGGTCACAAATTGTGATGGGTCGCAGAATTTGGTGTAACACCGGTCTTAGCGGTTGAGCAAGGAGCCGGCCTTGCTAGACCGGCAAGGACCCATACTCGTAAGCATCCTGGATTCGGACACACGAGCACCGTGTCCATACTTTGTGAGCGATTGCTTTTGTCTGACTGAATTAGCAGCCAATGACACACTGGCTCCACCTCGTTAGGCTTGACTGACGGACTGAGACATTCTGCTGTAAAGCCTCATTGTGAAATAAATCAGCCATGGGAAAAAACACTATTATGAAATAAAAGCTGTCTTTGTTAAAAAGACGTTATGTAATAAAAACTGAATGAATTACATAAAAATGTCTCAATATTAATTTGGATTATTATGAAAAAATGACTTGGAAAAAAATGATAATAACAAAGGCATTTTAAAAGAAGAATGAAAACTATTTCATAATATTGAGCTTAAATTTTACATAATATTCTGTTATTTCATCATTTCATTGTCAGATTACATGATTGTCTAGTATTTCTTCATGTAGATATTTATATCATAATGTCTTATTATAGAATTTTGAATACTTTTGAGTTCCATAAAAATCAGCTGTGTGAAGCTCTCCTGTGATGTTGCAGACCTGCTGAGACTGGGGTTTATGGGCTTCTTTATGCCCTGAGTACTGCCTGCAGGCCATTCATTCTTACTAGATTCCACTGCAAATGTGTAAATGAGTAATCCACACCTTGAAGTTCCAGTATGTAAATCCAGAAATCCATTTGGTAGATCATTATAAGATGAATTAGAAAACAGCTTAGGGATTCTATTAGGGTCGATTAGGGACAATAGAGTATTTGTAATTTCAGCTCTATCAGCTCTGTTCCAGAAATGTTGTCACTCATATAATGTGATCCGTTCCAGAAAAAAACCCGAGTCCTATAGATCCCCTATTGGGACAAGAAAAAAAACCAGAACATTTTTCTCCTGCTGTGGACAATTTTAGTTATTTGTGTCCGTATTGTCCCTTCAGGAACTTAGGGTACTGTCCAAATATCAACACGTTAAATTCACATCCAAATTTTCTCTCAGCTCATATTTCTCGTTGATATAATTTACAGTTAGTTCCCAGATGTTGTCCAGTTTACACACAACAGAATAAGGAAAAATCAAGCAAACAGCCATGTTTCCTCCTGCTTTAGGGCCCATAGTGACAGGGAAAAGCTCTGTATCCCCCAATCTTTTGGACTCTTTATATGAAGTTTTCTAAACTCAAGACTTTGAAAATAACTTTTAAAATGTTCTCACCATAAGTCCAGTGTGTGAAAGGCCAGAGCTCACAGTCATGTGGGCAAGGACTTCGAGAAAGAGCTAAACAACTAAAGCAATGACGATGTGAACGGTTCAGCCCGTGAGCTCCAAGATGACCTAAAGGTTTCCAAACTAAATCTAAAACTAAGCCTATTAGAGTCTTTGTGTAGGTGTGGATACTTTTGTTTTTCACTTTCTGGATTTAATGCAATACAACTTTTCTGGTTCTCCACCAAACTGGTATTCTCATGGAAACTTGTGATCCACTTCCTCATCTGAGTGTGCTGAAGGGTTAGGGTTAGGGTTCATCTGTGCGTCGTCTCCTGGAAAGCAGTCAGAAGGATATTTTAATGCAAAATGCATCAGATGTACTAAAATGACAAGTTTAAAGACTTTTTATTTTTTTTAGAAAACCAGTGGCCTTTCTTTCATTTGTTTTCAATGAACTCTAAATTAGTGACGCATGTCTTTATACACACCATTTACACATCTTAATACTAAAGTAAAGCATAAACATAAATGCTCATCTTAAAAGGATCCAAATGGTTTTAAGGACTGTTAGTGCATCTGTGGAGCGGGAAGGGTAAGGCTTTTCTTGAACAACCCTCCATGTGCCCGTGTCACTTGACCATGTGACATTCACCACCCACTAAGATGGAGGACATGGTAGTTGAAGCATTCCAGAAACAACTGTATGTTGTCTGTATCACAGTCCCAGCTCCTGGTTAATGAAAGGCCTTCTGCTCTGGCCAGAGCCTAGGCCCACCTTAATGCACAGGCTAACACTCAGAGATGCAGTAAAAATCTAGCTAAAAGAAGGAGATTATGCAACAATGAAAAGTAGACTTTAAAGTTGTTTTGGAATTAGTTTGAGAAGAGTTGTGAAGGTGGAGAAGTCGGCAGTTGTGGAGGAGCTGTAGGAGTGAGTTCCAGAGGATGGGGGCAGCAATGGAGAAAGTTCTGTCTCGCCAGGTTCAGAGCTTGGTCAAAGGTGGGGGAGGGAGAGGAGGGAGTGGGATGCGGCACCAAGGGCGTCAGTTTGTTTTCAGAATTGCTGGGGACAATAACCATACACTTGAGTGGGGTTTAAAAATTGCTGGGGACAATAAAGTAGG